GACGCTCCTACGGACGTGGACCACGCTCATGATCAGGCCGTCAAAGCAGACGAACAGAGCACTATGACCGTCTTCCCGACCCTCGATTTCCGTGAAACGATACTTGGCACCCTGTCTGATGGCTTCTTCGAGACCGTCAAGAATGATGGCGCTTGACCTGGTCATCCGAATCATTTCTGAACGCGCGTTGACGTGCGAAGTTAAGCAGTTCATTACCGTAAAGTGCGTGGATGGCAAATTTACGTGTGCAAATTATATCGGCATCAACTTTCGGTTCAACACTGTGTTGCTTCAACCTGAGGTTCGACCATCGTAGCTCAAGGGCCCTTCAGTTACCATATTTTTTGTTCATAGCCGTTTCATGTATACATTGCTTAGGTACCTGGACTACAAGGGCGATGGCGGTTCCGTTTTATTTCGTTGTGCCCCCAACACAGATGCGATCATTTTAAACAATTCCACAAAGCGCTTGGATGAGACGTCGCAGAGCGACATCTACAATAATCACCCCGCCTTTCTTCCCTTACGCAAGCTGTGGGAAGACATTGTGGCAACCGATGAGAAGTTAGTTCCAGGGGTGCTTGCAGTCTGGCTTCCCCATGGGCGACTCGATGGACGTGGGCGCCAACGACGCACTCCGACGCGAACCTCGCATTCCAGAGGCTGACGCCGATAGCACACCGCGCCCTTCTGCTATCCCAGGCCCTGCTCCTGACCCAGGCAGCACTGCCTCTGCTGCTGCCCCCGCCCTGAAACAGATAGTCGAGGTCCTGCGGACAGAGTCTGAAGAATGCTTGGAAGGTGAGGGGGAGGTTGACAAGGACGCCGTGCTCATCGCAACGGCCAAGCGGATCATCGCCGAGCATGCTGGCACGGCCTCAGTACACCAGTCTCGCGAGAACATTTCGGCGGGTGATCTTTCCGATCGTATGATTGGAAAAGGATTGGGATCTCTGGTCCCCAGTATCGCCACCGACAGCGCTCATTTGATCCCCGATCGGGCTCTTCGTAACCTCGGTCGATCTCTGGGCGCCGGTAGAAACGCCCGCAGCCGCGTGGAGATTCTCACCCAGGAAGTCGCCCGTGACATCCAGGCAGAGAAGCAGCAGCGTGACCGCCGCTGCCGCGATCCCCTTGACAAATGCGACGGCCACACCTGCGCAATGTGCGAGACGTCCCTCGCCTGCGGCGATGTCGGGGGGGCTCGGGTGGAATTCGTCGCAGGCGTCGACGCGTGGATACGGGCCACCCTGAATCGAGAGGTTGTAACCCGACTCGTGCGCCAGGATGTCTGCGTCCGTCTCATGGGCACGCGTGCTGACCTTGCGGGGGAAAGGCAATTTCCCCACAAGCTCGCCCAGAATGCCGAGAGGCGGCGTGAGAAAGTGGTCGCCGACAGATCACTTTCTGTCAGAGCGCGTCGGCTGTCGGGCGCAGGTGTTGACCTCGAGGGTGAAGAGAGCAAGTTGTATCGCCCGTGCGCTAGCGTTGCCCCCCTGTGATTCCGAGAATGTCCCGTCTTCCATGAACAGATGACCACCCTCAGAGAGACCAGTGGTCAGAGGCCCCTCGCGCTTGCGGACATGCGGCGTGCCGTGGACATTCGCGCCGTTAGCGCGGCAAAAGGCTTCGCTGGCCGTGGGGCAAGCCCCTGGTGCTTTGAGCCGCGCGGGGCGCCTCGGCCGCGGGCCCTTGACTTCCCCCGCTCGCTCGGGGAAAGGAACGGGCTTCATGGGCCGCGTTGCGCTCGCAGGGCTCCACGCGGAGGCCCCGGGAGGGGGTGCTCGGGGGGGTGGGGGGGGCAAGGGTTTGCATCTGTCGCTGACCCGCGTCCCGCTCCACCTCCTGCGCCTCCGCCCCCGCGCCGCGATGTGCCTGGGCGCGGCGTCCTCCGGCGGCCCTGCCCGCGGCGCTGGCTGGGCTGGGGGCGGCGCCGCTGCCCCGGTTACCCCGATTGCATCGGGCGCAGGAAGGCTGTTGGCGCCACCGAGGCGGGGGGCGCGAGAGCAGGCTACGTCGAGCGCTGCTGCGCAGACGCATCCAGAGCGCAGCCGCAGCGCCGCGCGCTCCAGCGCCGCACTCAGGCGTGGTGGCGCGAAAACATGCATTACCAGGACAATGCGTGCCGCTACTGGTCGTGCCATTTATAAGATTGGATTTACGTCGACGAGAATGACTGCGAGTACATGTGGATCAACCAGAACAGCGCCCGTGCAATTGGCTGGTCCGATGAGCGTGGTAATCGTGTCTGGGACAAGAACTGCTACAACTTCCAGATGTTGACCATCATGGCTGTATTGCTGGATATTCGTTCTCATTGACACTGGTGCTCTTAAGTTAATTTATTCGACATTCCATATCAGTGTATTTCATTTTGCATTCCAGTTGATCTTACATCGTTTTCTATCGTGTTGCGCTCAGGGCGTAAAAGTACCCCAGTGGTCGCCTGTCAACAATATCATCAAGTTTGATACTGGGATGTTGGAACCGAAGAGTACGATATTCGAAACACGAAGACGTTGCATTTTAGTTTTTGAGGGCCCTCACGTCACGCGTTTCACGCTACCTCGTTGACCACTTGCTCTCACAAGCTAGATTTCAATATTGATTGAATTCGGACCTGGAGAGCCCTGAGAGTGATTTCGGGCCTGGAGTGCCCCGTGAATGACACATCTTTTAGCTGGACCGAGTTGTTGTCACAACTCCGGATCCATGCGTATCATTACGAATTTCAGTTTATTTGCGCGCGTGCTTTCTTTGCGCTGGTCGAAACACCCGCGTTCCTGAACGCGGCGCTGTTTTCCACTTGTTCTTTTCTCTCTTGCTCTCCCAGTCCCGTCGCCCGTGGTGGCGGGGAGTCGTCCGGGTGTGCCGAAGCGTTTTTTTGGGGCGCGCCCTGGGTCCGCTAAGGGCGGGTAGACTCTCCTGAGTGCCCTGCGTGGGTCCCCTTTCTCTCTTTCCTAGCCGATGCGATTTCGTTTGGAGGCGCGGTAGATGTGACGGTGTACCTACCGAGTGGACCTCGCACCTCTGTTCCCGTGCCCCGCCCTTGTCTCCCGTGGGCCTGGGGCCGGCGTGGAGCGGGTGGGATTCGGGGCGGTGTGCGTGTGTGTGTGTGTGTGTGTGTGTGTGTGTGTGTGTGTGTGAAAGCCGCTCATATCACCACTATATCATTGCATTCCGCTAACGTATCGGCCCAGGTACCGGTGCAACATGCCGCGCTGCCTTCATCGCGGCGCCCTGGATAAGGACTCGCGACCCTTTTCCTTTCTTACCGCAGCCTACGGGATAGTGTGTAGATTTGATTCTTTGGTCGTTAACCTACATCCACATAGCAGTCTGAAGATGGTTGTTGTACAATTATTGTTTTTGTTTCTGTTGCTGTTGAATTCTCGTTCTTGTAGACGAATGTTGTTTATCCTCCCCGCTGGTGCGCATCGTGCTTTTACATTTGAACTCCCCCACTGGAAGTTCCATTTTTCTTGGAAAACAAAGACGGGGGAATTCTTCAACCTGAAAGTGTGCCCCCGCCCCCCCCGGCTACAACAACGGCGGTTCCCGCCTGACATTTCCCACCATTAATTCCGAAATCGGGTTCTCGCGCGGGACTTCCTCACAATTTATGCAGGAATCGTACTCTCGCGTTGGATTTCCGCGCAATTTATTGATTCGCCGCGCCTTCGACATTCAGGCATCACGCTTTCGGTTTTGTTTTTCTTAGGGTTTACGTGGGAAACGGGCAATCGTTCGAGACCTCCTCGCTGTGCGTGCAGGATCCAAGCTTCAGCAGCCCACCTGCTCGACTTGGTCGCTTGGGCCCGGCTTCCCAACCCGCCCGATAGGGTCTACCCGCCGTATCTGCCCGTTTGGTTCAACCACGTGTTTTCTGCTCTTAGCCTCCTTTTGCCAATTTCTCTCGCGTTCCATCTTTCTCCCTCTCCTTTCCATCCGTCCTTTCTTCCCCTGTTAGGGGCTGCGCAAAATGCGCTTGGCAGGCAAAGAAGATCCTTGTGTACGATCGAAGACGAAGAGGGCGGGTATCGCGTGCTTGGGATATCCGTGTTCAATGGCACGCGGGCAGATACGAGTGCACAGTCTTGAAATGATTGTTGTTGTTGTTGTTGTTGTTTCTGCTGTTGTTGTTGCTGCTGCTGTTGTTGTTATTGTTGTTGTGGTTGTTGCTGCTGGTGTAGTTGTTGCTGTTGTTGCTGTTGCTGCTGGTGTTGCTGCTGTTGTTGCTGATGTTGTTGTTGTTGTTGTTGTTGTTGTTGTTGTTGTTGTTGTTGTTGTTGTTGTTGTTGTTGTTGTTGTTGTTATTGTTGTTGTTGTTGTTGTTGTTGTTGTTGTTGTTGTTGTTGTTGTTGTTGTTGTTGTTGTTGTTGTTGTTGTTTTTGTTGTCGTTTTTGTTTTTGTTGTTGTTGCTGCTGTTGTTGTTATTGCCGCTGCTGCTGCTGATTCTTAAGTGCGACAGATTTTTTGTTGGACCCCTTACAGGCGCCCTGGCGCCTTCGTCTTGGTGCCGGCTGAATTTCCTTTGAAAATGCGGCCGACGCTCAGGCGTTTCAGGGGTGCGCCGGAGACGGCCCCCCAACAACAACAAGGGTCCCGCTCGATATTGCTTCTTTTTGTACTTTGGAGTGGGGCTTCTGCTGGCCGCCGAAAGCTGGCCTTCCCACAAAACTGGCAATCCCGCTCGATACTTCTTTGTTCTATACTCAGGACCGGCGCTCCCGCCTCGGCGCCGCAAGCGCCCCCGTGCAAACAACGACGCTCCCGTTCGATATTGCCTCCGCTTGTCTTCAAGAGCCATTGGGCTTCCTGGTCCCTCGTGCCGATCCTCAAGAATTCAGCATGCACTGTCGGAGGTCTGCACCAGTGCTTCCGTGGCGCGCTCCGCGTGCCAAAGGCGGCCCCGCCGTCGTCGTCGTCGTCGTCGTCGTCGTCGTCGTCGTCGTCGCACGGACATACACGGGTCCCAGCATGTTCGAGCCGCGTCAGAGCGCGGTGGCGGATTCGGCGCAGGTCACTGCGGCTCTGAAGGCGAGCAACTATCTGACCAAGTGGGTGGACTGAGTGGCAGCGGCTCGTCGTTCCCATCGTGACCTCGCAAGCTGATGCGCTTTTTACTCGTGCAACATTTTTGTCATGTCGGCACCGCGCCCAGATCCGCGAGCCCTTCATCCAGGTGAGGGGCCTGCGCGTTGGGTTTGTAGACTTGTGCGACTTTCGAAGCAGCATAAACAGAATCTCATCGATGTAGTCACCATTGCTGCCACCACCATCCAAGTTGGCTGTCGAAGGCAGAGCTCCAGGGAGTGGCTGGATGGAGTGCTTCCAAGGAGGGCCCATCGAGAAGTCGATCGAAGCGAATTGAAGGATGTGCTCGATCGGAGCGAATCGGAACGTGGAACACGAGTATAGGGAGTGCGGCTGATGGACCCGATCGGACTGCTCAAACAGAAGAGCTGCACAGAGCTAGGGGAGCGATGCAGCAGCCGCAGGCTGATTGACCCTCGGGCTCGGACCGTTCAAGACCAGTTTCCCGATGCTAGGGGAGGAGGAGGAGGAGGATGTATATGGCTCTCGCGCCATTTTTGGTTGGGGGTACGCTGTATCGATGCTAGAATAATCTTGATTCGTCGATTTCGAAGATGTTCATTCCGTGTTGGAACTTGCACGTCTCGAGCAGGGACTTCGAGAGCGGAGCGAGGTAGGAAGGAGCGGTCCAGGGGCCGTTTGTCCTTGGGCCTGGTACAACATGCTTTCACATTGATCTTGTTTTCCCTCTTCCACCGGTAGATCCCACTTCGTTGTTCTCGGGACCTTACATGGCCGTGGCGGCGTCGCTCAGCATGGCGTATTTGCATCTAAATGGCCCAAGCTGCCGAGGCTCGAATCTAAGTCATCCGACATGTTCTACAGCCAGACAGGGAACAACTGCGCAATCACAGCTTGAGAGTTCTTTGGTTTCATCGTGCCATATGCCACAGAGCCAGCCACGCGCCCTTCAGGATGCGTGGCGCAGGATGCGTGGCATCCTTGCCCGCACCAGTTCCTGAGAGCGAGTAGCCGAGAGAATCGTGGGCAGGCGATTCGGGCAAGGCTGCAGCAATGCAGGGGCACGGTGGCGCCGCGGGCCTGACCTGCTGCTCCCGTCCTAGGGGGCCACGTGCGAACCCTACCCTACCCCCCATGATTTCTGAGGGGGAGGGTGGGGGTCACTTCGTTCGGGAGCTCCTGAGCGAAGTGAACCCCACCCTCCCCCTCAGAAATCGTGGGGGGCAGGGGTAGGGTTCGCATGTGGTCCCCTACCGTCCAGGATGCTCCGTGTCGAGGTCACCTGGCGTCGGGACGCGGGGAGGTTCGGTAGCAAATCATGGGGGCCTTGTATACCCTCGAAATTCCGTCTTCAGAGTGCATTCGCGCTGATTGGGGATTGGTAATGGATGAGATAACGGCTCTTTAGCATCGACTAGCGTCGATTAGCGTCGATTTGTGTCGATACGCGATAGTTCGCAAGAGCCAACAAGATGGTACGGGAGGCTCCGATGAGTTGCCGCAGAAGGGGCAACGTTAGGGGGGAGATATGCTCAGGTGGGATGCATCGACCCCCACACCGCCCATTCGTCGCCGATACAGGCCCGATAGCCCGCCCCGCCCAGGAGCGTGCGGTTTCGCTATCTGGGACCAATCGCCGATCTATCGGCGCTGTATTTCCGATTCCAGCTTTATGTTTCCCTCTCCTGAGCCGGCCCCCCCCTTATCGTTGCCCCTTACACGAGGCGTCGGCTCTGCGATGTTGGATTCGGGCGGGAGGAGGGTTTCTTAGGGTACGAGGCCCTGAGGGGCTGGGAGGATGTCAGGAGGTTGAGGCCACGGGGGGATGCCAGGAGGGCTCCCGGCGCGAGGTCCGGGGATGGCAGGATTCCGCCACACGTAAGAGTGGCCCTTCGCCAGGGTGACCTCATGGTGCGGCCTCACTGGGGTCCCCGGATCGCTGCATCCGATGCGACGGCTGCTGCTTGCGCTCTTGGAATCTCCCCCCCCACCTCCCCGTGCCCCCCGAAAGCTGCGCACCTACAGTCACTCTTGCCTAGGGTCACCCTTCTGTGTGTGTGTGTGTGTGTGTGTGTATATAGCCGGCAGGCGCGGGCGCAGTGCCGTGGGTTCTGCGTTCCGTCTTGCCGTTGCCCCCCCGTCGGTTGCGCCCTGCAGGCCTGGTGAGCCGTGGAATCGCGTGGTGTCGCCTGCTCGATGTGGGCCTCCAACAAGCTCATCCGGGCGGTGTCCGTGCTACCGGTGCTGGTGATATGGTTCTTTTTTGCCTTTGCGACTCCGCTCGGCCACACTTTGCTCAGGGAATGGGCGCCAGTCAGCAGAAGTTGCATGGGGAGCCTGTCTCCCTCTCCGCCTTTCTTCATCTCCCTCCCTCTCCCTCTCCTCCCAACACTCCTCCTCTCCCCTTCTTCTCTTGCTCCATCTCCTCTTCCTCCTCGTCTCCTCCCCCTTCGTCCCTCTCCTCTTCCTCCTCGTCTCCTCCTCCCCCCTTCTGCTCCTGCGTTGCCCTCCTCCTCGTCCTCGTGCTCCCCCCTTCCTCCGCCCTCCGCACTCTCCTTCTCCTCCTCCCTTTGCTTCTCCTCTTCCTCTTTCTCGTCATTGTTGTCTTTATGGTCGTCCTCGTCCTCGTCGTGATTCTTCTCGTCGTCGTCGTCGTCGTCGTCGTCGTCATCGCCGTCATGGTCGTCGTTGTCAGTTTTCGTCATCGTCGCCTCCCTGGTGGGCGCAGGAATGGTATGCTTACAACTGCCTGTACGTCTACGGCATGCTTCTGAAGTGGCAGGCCTTGCCAGAAGCGTCCCACCTGAGGAGGGAGGAGGAGGATTGCGCGGATCGAGGATTGAGGATCAATGATTTGTTGTTTTTGTAAGTTTGTCTGGCTTTTTGAGCCGCAGGGGCGCCCTCGTCGCCATGGCCTGATCAGTGTCGAACTTCAGGTCGGAACGCGCCCGCGAGCAGGTTCGTGGGCCGATCTTACAGGGATGAAGGGGATGTGATGGAGTATGTATGGGTGGGGGGAGCAGGAGGGAGGAAGAGAATGGGGAGAGGGAAAAGGGGAAAAGGAGCAACATGAGGAGCAGGAGGATCAGCAGAAGGCGGCGGAGGTGAAACGATTGGGGTGGCTACGAGGAGGAATGAAGTGGATCCAGAAATGTGTCCCGCGCTCGGGCGAGGGTGCGTTTCCCATTGATCGAAGCAAAGCAGCCATCCTGAAATGAGGCCACTGCTGCAGCGGGAAAACATTTTTTGAAGGACCGAAGACGTTCCGATATATACATCGGCATGACGTGCCAATCTCGACATCTTGGGTACGGACGCGTACGCTTTACGCGAACTATATGGCAGCACACTCTTGCATTGTCAGGGGATAGGGGTGTATTACTAGTGTGTACTTGTAGAGCCACTGCATAAAGGGAGGGAAGTAGGTAGGTAGGGAGGGAGGGAGGGAGGTACGGGAGGAGGAGGAGGAGAAGGAGGAGGAGGCGGAGGAGGAGGAGGAGGATGAGGAGGATGAAAAGGAGGAGGAGGAGGAGGTGGACGAGGAGAGGAGGTGGCGGCGGGCAATATCATTGTCGCGAAGACGTGCTCAAATGGCGTCTCTCTCTCTCTCTCTCTCTCTCTCCCTCTCTCTATGTATACAAACTCTCTCTAGGGCGCAGGAGTCTCCGACGGCACTGGCGGTCAGAGGAACATCCAAATCCTACGGGTAGCTTTGTCCCCAGAGGGGCGGCAAGATCAAGGGGAGAGCAGGGAACGGCCCCCAAGCGGAGAGGAATGGAGGAATGAGGGAGAGGAGCGACATGAGGGGGGAGGAGGAAAGAGGCGTGAGGAAGAGGGTAGGCTAGGATATCGCGCCACAGCGGACGCCCTGTCCCTCCGTCTCGTCCTTTCCTTCGTGCGGACTCCCCCTATTCGCATTGCTTCTAAACATCCACCACGACCAACAAAGCCGTAACAAAGCAAGCAGGAACCACATCGTCAACTCGGGGAAAAGACACGACTGTTCAGGAATGCCACCAGCGCTGCCGTGAGAGCGTTCAGGTCGTTTGATGTAAACGACACACGCGCACACTTATCACTCCACAAAGGATCATAGCAACAACGGCACGTCACCCCCCCCTGGGGTGACGCAAGCGAAATAATAATGCATGGTTGCGGCCAACGCGCCAACTCCAGCTGCGCACCTTGGCTGGCTCCGCAGTACAACTTTCTGGAAGCTTGCGCGCTGGCGAACGTAGGGGTGTGCAGAAGACTGGCACGTGTCAGGTGTCGTGAGGTCTTCTTCGTAGCGCCTCGCGGGTTGAATATTTTGTTCACCCTCCCTGCTGCCGTTGCCGCCGACCGTTGCTATATTACGCTGGCGTGCTTGGCTGCCGCATCGACTACTTCGTGCTCGAGTGCACTTGGAGAATGCGTGTGTGCGAAAGAGCGGATTTCAGCCATATCTTAGGAGACCAACACAAGGTTTGGGAAGGCTCGAGTTCGCTGGAACGGGGTTTGCCGACGTTTTTTTGAGGGGCCCGTTTAGAATTTTGACGGTCAATTGTCCGTGGGATGTTTGCAGCCGGAGCTCGCGCCAAATTTTAGATGGGTCTCGGCATTTTCCCGACGGCCCCGTCAGGCCAACCCGAGTCCCCGAATCCTAGTCGTGCGTCTCCCCGACAGGTGAACACATGTCTGGCACATGCCAGAACGAAGGCGAATGCTCGATGTCTTCCTTCCCAGCCAATGCGAGGACGGCAGAAAGCAAAGCACGTGAGCACAAACTTCGGGAACGTCCGAGGACTTTCTCCGCCGGCGCCGACCTTTTCCCCGCACCCCGCGCCCAGGCGCAATTTCAGTCTCCCTCGCCTTCCCTCCGCTCGGCGAGACCCGGACTTCCGATGCCGTCTGATTTTTCTGCCCGCGTGCGATCGGGAGTTTTCGCCCAAAGGACGAGGGGGAAGGAGGAGTAGGAGGAGGAGGAAGAGGAGGAGGAGGAGGAATAGGGAAAGCAGGGAAGAGGAGGGAAGCGGAGCGACAGCGGTGACCACCACCACCGCAG